GTAGTGGTACTAAGATGAAGTGGTATTCTGATGAAGTGGTACTCTGATGTAGTTCTACTCTGATGTAGTGGTACTTTGATGTAGTGGTACTAAGATGTAGTGGTACTCTGATGTAGTGGTACTAAGATGTTGTGGTACTCTGATGTAGTGGTACTTTGATGTAGTGGTACTCTGATGTAGTGCTACTCTGATGTAGTGGTATTCTGATGTAGTGGTACTAAGATGAAGTGGTATTCTGATGAAGTGGTACTCTGATGTAGTTCTACTCTGATGTAGTGGTACTTTGATGTAGTGGTACTAAGATGTAGTGGTACTCTGATGTAGTGGTACTAAGATGTTGTGGTACTCTGATGTAGTGGTACTTAGATGTAGTGGTACTCTGATGTAGTGGTACTAAGATGTTGTGGTACTCTGATGTAGTGGTTCTCTGATGTAGTGGTACTCTGATGTAGTGGTACTCTGATGTAGTGGTACTCTGATGTAGTGGTACTCTGATGTAGTGGTACTCTGATGTAGTGGTACTCTGATGTAGTGGTACTCTGATGTAGTGGTACTCTGATGTAGTGGTACTCTGATGTAGTGGTACTCTGATGTAGTGGTACTCTGATGTAGTGGTACTCTGATGTAGTGGTACTCTGATGTAGTGGTACTCTGATGTAGTGGTACTCTGATGTAGTGGTACTCTGATGTAGTGGTACTCTGATGTAGTGGTACTCTGATGTAGTGGTACTCTGATGTAGTGGTACTCTGATGTAGTGGTACTCTGATGTAGTGGTACTCTGATGTAGTGGTACTCTGATGTAGTGGTACTCTGATGTAGTGGTACTCTGATGTAGTGGTACTAAGATGTTGTGGTACTCTGATGTAGTGGTACTTTGATGTAGTGGTACTCTGATGTAGTGGTACTCTGATGTAGTGGTACTCTGATGTAGTGGTACTCTGATGTAGTGGTACTCTGATGTAGTGGTACTCTGATGTAGTGGTACTCTGATGTAGTGGTACTCTGATGTAGTGGTACTCTGATGTAGTGGTACTCTGATGTAGTGGTACTCTGATGTAGTGGTACTCTGATGTAGTGGTACTCTGATGTAGTGGTACTCTGATGTAGTGGTACTCTGATGTAGTGGTACTCTGATGTAGTGGTACTCTGATGTAGTGGTACTCTGATGTAGTGGTACTCTGATGTAGTGGTACTCTGATGTAGTGGTACTCTGATGTAGTGGTACTCTGATGTAGTGGTACTCTGATGTAGTGGTACTCTGATGTAGTGGTACTCTGATGTAGTGGTACTCTGATGTAGTGGTACTCTGATGTAGTGGTACTAAGATGTTGTGGTACTCTGATGTAGTGGTACTTTGATGTAGTGGTACTCTGATGTAGTGGTACTCTGATGTAGTGGTACTCTGATGTAGTGGTACTCTGATGTAGTGGTACTCTGATGTAGTGGTACTCTGATGTAGTGGTACTCTGATGTAGTGGTACTCTGATGTAGTGGTACTCTGATGTAGTGGTACTCTGATGTAGTGGTACTCTGATGTAGTGGTACTCTGATGTAGTGGTACTCTGATGTAGTGGTACTCTGATGTAGTGGTACTCTGATGTAGTGGTACTCTGATGTAGTGGTACTCTGATGTAGTGGTACTCTGATGTAGTGGTACTCTGATGTAGTGGTACTCTGATGTAGTGGTACTCTGATGTAGTGGTACTCTGATGTAGTGGTACTCTGATGTAGTGGTACTCTGATGTAGTGGTACTCTGATGTAGTGGTACTCTGATGTAGTGGTACTCTGATGTAGTGGTACTCTGATGTAGTGGTACTCTGATGTTGTGGTACTCTGATGTAGTGGTACTCTGATGTAGTGGTACTCTGATGTAGTGGTACTCTGATGTAGTGGTACTCTGATGTAGTGGTACTCTGATGTAGTGGTACTCTGATGTAGTGGTACTCTGATGTAGTGGTACTCTGATGTAGTGGTACTCTGATGTAGTGGTACTCTGATGTAGTGGTACTCTGATGTAGTGGTACTCTGATGTAGTGGTACTCTGATGTAGTGGTACTCTGATGTAGTGGTACTCTGATGTAGTGGTACTCTGATGTAGTGGTACTCTGATGTAGTGGTACTCTGATGTAGTGGTACTCTGATGTAGTGGTACTCTGATGTAGTGGTACTCTGATGTAGTGGTACTCTGATGTAGTGGTACTCTGATGTAGTGGTACTCTGATGTAGTGGTACTCTGATGTAGTGGTACTCTGATGTAGTGGTACTCTGATGTAGTGGTACTCTGATGTAGTGGTACTCTGATGTAGTGGTACTCTGATGTAGTGGTACTATGATGTTGTGGTACTCTGATGTAGTGGTACTCTGATGTAGTGGTACTCTGATGTAGTTCTACTCTGATGTAGTGGTATTCTGATGTAGTGGTACTAAGATGAAGTGGTATTCTGATGAAGTGGTACTCTGATGTAGTTCTACTCTGATGTAGTGGTACTTTGATGTAGTGGTACTAAGATGTAGTGGTACTCTGATGTAGTGGTACTCTGATGTAGAGGTACTCTGATGGAATGGTACTCTGATGTAGTGGTACTCTGATGTAGAGGTACTCTGATGTAATGGCACTCTGATGTAGTGGTACTCTGGTGTAGTGGTATCCTGATGTAGTGGTACTCTGATGTAGTTTTACTCTGATGTAGTTTTACTCTGATGTAGTGGTACTCTGATGTAGTGGTACTAAGATGTAGTGGTATTCTGATGAAGTGGTACTCTGATGTAGTTCTACTCTGATGTAGTGGTACTAAGATGTAGAGGTACTCTGATGTAGTGGTACTCTGATGTAGAGGTACTCTGATGTAGTGGTACGCTGATGTAGTGGTACTCTGATGTAATGGTACTCTGGTGTAGTGGTACTCTGATGTAGAGGTACTCTGATGTAGTGGTACTCTGGTGTAGTGGTACTTTGATGTAGTGGTACTCTGATGTAGAGGTACTCTGATGAAGTGGTACTCTGGTGTAGTGGTACTCTGATGTAGTGGTACTCTAATGTAGTGGTACTCTGATGTTGTGGTACTCTGGTGTAGTGGTACTCTGATGTAGTGGTATTTTGATTAAGTGGTACCCTGATGTAGTGGCACTCTGATGTAGTGGTACTCAGAGGGAGTGGTACTCATATATGGTGGTTCTCTGATGTAAAGGTACTCTGGTGTAGTGGTACTCTGTTGTAGTGGTACTCTGGTGTAGTGGTACTCCGATGTAGTGGTATTTTGATTAAGTGGTACTCTGATGTAGTGGTACTCTGATATGGTGGTTCTCTGATGTAGTGGTAATCTGGTGTAGTGGTACTCTGATGTAGTGGTACTCTGATATGGTGGCTCTCTGATTTAGTGGTACTCTGATGTAGTGGTACTCTGGTGTAGTGGTACTCTGATGTAGTGGTATTTTGATTAAGTGGTACTCTGATGTAGTGGCGCTCTGATGTAGTGGTACTCAGAGGGAGTGGTACTCATATATGGTGGTTCTCTGATGTAAAGGTACTCTGGTGTAGTGGTACTCTGTTGTATTGGTACGCTGATGTAGTGGTACTCTGATGTAGAGGTACTCTGGTGTAGTGGTACTCTGATGTGGTGGTATTTTGATTAAGTGGTACTCTGATGTAGTGGCGCTCTGATGTAGTGGTACTCAGAGGGAGTGGTACTCATATATGGTGGTTCTCTGATGTAAAGGTACTCTGGTGTAGTGGTACTCTGTTGTAGTGGTACTCTGGTGTAGTGGTACTCTGTTGTAGTGGTACGCTGATGTAGTGGTACTCTGATGTTGTGGTACTCTGGTTTAGTGGTACTCTGATGTTGTGGTTCACTGATGATGTGGTATTCTGATGTAGTGGTACTCTGTTGTAGTGGTACGCTGATGTAGTGGTACTCTGATGTAGTGGTACTCTGATGTAGTGGTACTCTGATGTAGTGGTACTCTGATGTAGTGGTACTAATATGTAGTGGTACTCTGATGTAGTGGTACTCTGATGTTGTGGTACTCTGGTGTAATGGTACTCTGATGTAATTGTACTCTGATGTAGTGGTACTCTGATGGTGTGGTACTCTGATGGTGTGGTATTCTGGTGTAGTGGTACTCTAATGTAATGGTACTCATATGTAGTGGAACTCCGATGTAGTGGTACTTCCAAAAGCTGTCTCCCCTAATTTTGTTGTCTGTCCTATTGTTTTGCCGTAAGTGTATTTCCAAAAGCTGTCGCCCCTTATGTTTTTTGCCTATCCTATTGTTTTGCCGTCAGAGTAGTTCCAAAAGCTGTCATCACTACTTTTGATGTCTATTCTATTGTTTTGCCGTCAGAGTATTTCCAAAAGCTGTCATTCCTAATTTTGATGTCTATTCTTTTGTTTTGCCGTCAAAGTAGTTCCAAAAGCTGTCATCCCTAATTGTGATGTCTATTCTTTTGTTTTGCCGTCAAAGTAGTTCCAAAAGCTCTCATCACTACTTTTGATGTCTATTCTATTGTTTTGCCGTCAGAGTAGTTCCAAAAGATGTTTCCCATAGTTTTGTTTTTTATCCTTTTGTTTTGCCGTCAGTGTAGTTCCAATAACTGTCTCCCCTATTTTTGATGTCTATACTATTTTTTCGCCGTCAGAGTAGTTCCAATTGCTGTCTTCTCTAATTCTGTTGCCAGGGTGGTTCCTGTTTCTGTTTACCGAATCATTTCATTGTCTACCCTATTGCGTGTTCTTCAATCCTCATTCCTGTTTATTATGATATACAACATTTCAGTGGCTGTTGATGCTTCAACGCACATGATCAATACATATAATCATTCTTATGTTAATTGTCACCATATCAAAGGATCATGTGAAACAGCCAGTGAAAACGTGATTACTTTGGAAGTCAGATCTGATGTGGGTTGACCGTTTCAAACACAGAGATACATGTACCATGTTTCGACGTTTTGGCGCGACGGGGGTCCCGAAAGGATCACGATTTTTGATCCTGATCGCAATGAGTGGTCTTTGGCAAGGTAAGGACGTCTTTTGTTTATGAAGGACTATGACCAGATAGGGCTTAATTTCATTTTAATTGATTTGTTATGATGATGTATATTATAGCCTTTCCGAAATAAAAGAAATACAGCAGATTTGATTCAACGTGACGAACAGAAGAAAGAGTTATAAAACAATTAAAGGAATTTTCAAAATTGACATCAGCTTGTTTGTACCGATATTGTATCATAACCTGAACTTTTATTCTACATTTTGTTCCTTTTCTTGGCGATGACTGTCGTCTCATATTCACATATACAGAATTGAAAAAAATAAATGAATATATCTAATTCACGTATGCTGGTAATTGTAAGGCGATGGGGAAAATGCCTATGTTCATTCAGTGTAGTTGAGAATTATTTGCGTGAACATTCCGATGGCTTTTATTTCAAACTTCTTTTTTAAAATTTCATTAAACGATATGTGCTCTGTTCGCATTAACAAACCAGACCTAGAAACAAAGGAAACACAGCATCATAAACGTAACAGACGCCAAAAAAAGAAAACAGCTTTAATATTACAGACATCAACATAAAAGGGGAGACAACATCATTTATGATACAGACATCAAATAAATGAGAAGACAGCAGCAACAACGCAAGAAATATCAAATAAAACGGGATACACCACAATTATTTATCAAGGTTTTACAGACTTATTGCTGCTTTTGTTTAATAAACATTGGTATTTATATATAATGATAATCTTAAAGTAATTATTCTGTTTTATTGAAATTAGTCTTATTGTAAATTGCAGTTTGTCTTGTCAAATGCCGGCCTCAAGTCTTTATGCTTGGGTTTCCAGAGAATCGAGTGCAGGGGTACTCATATCTACGGGTAACCGTGACTAACGCATGTGAACGACGAATAAACGTGACCATAACATCTCACGTATTTAACGATCTGGACACATACGTTCTGCAACCTGCAGCTAGCGACACTTCAACAGTAGCTGGAGAATTGATGGTTAAGGGTTCCAAGAGAACCAAGCAAGGGGTCAAAATTATCACGACCGGTGACGCGAAAGTGTACATTGAGGTTGACAACATCAACGCTAAGGAAGGAGCTCTGGTTATACCCGTGCAATTCCTTGGATACCGCCATTATGTGGTGACCGGAGTGTCTACTGAGGGAACAACTCAGTCGGAAATTCTTCTTGTTGGAGTAACTGATCAAACAGATGTTGCCGTGACCATCCATACTACCACAAACGTTATTTACGATCGAGACATGTTCTTTAATGGTGCGGTAATTTATATACAGCTTGACGAATTTGATACAGTTCAGATTCAAAGTGACAGCGGTGACTTGTCAGGATCTCTTATCGAATCGTCCTCGCCGATAAGTGTTTTCAGCGGAAATCAAGCTGTGAGCATAAACACAAATGTCGGCTACCTATTGGAGCAAATGCCAGCCATAATGTTTTGGCAGACTAAGTTCGTTATTGTGCCCCCGAAAGGGTTCAATTACGAATGTAAAATAGTGGCTGCTTTCTCGTGGACTTTGGTGCGCTACCGATGTAGTTTGGTTGGGTGGCATGACGTACTGTTAGTATCCGCGGGAACAGACGTGGCATTACAATTGGGAAGCGCCCTCTGTACGGTCATTGCCAGCAAGCCAATACTGACGACTATGATTATCCGTGCGATGACGTTTGATCCTGCCATGGTCGTGATACAACCGGTACGGGAAGTCCACAGACACATCCCGTTTTATGTCCCCGAAACTCTTGAGTTCGCCCAAATCATTCTTGTTACGTACACAGATGACATCTACGATATGACCTTGGACAATGACACTTTGACCAATGTAATAGCGCCTTCGTTTGAACCTCTTTATGTTGCCGTTGTTGAAGACATCAAAAGTGGGACTCACATTATCAAAACATCCGGGTCATCCTTGAGGATATCGGGGTATATATTTGGGTTGTTTGGTGGCTTGACATCGGCATTCCCACTGCAATTTCAACAAAACAGGGTGAGAATCGCTTAATTATATATTTGTATATCCAAAAAATACATAATCTCCTTTTTTTCGTGTTTTTTGCTCCAAAATAGCACTGTTCGTTTAGTTTTTATATTTGTTCATATTTTGTCTCATTTCTAATACACCAATTTTCTACTAATCTTCGAAAATAGAAATAAAAACACGCATTACGGTACAATTATATTCAATATGTCTATTTATCAAATTGTCTGTATGTATAATATGGTGGTTTGTTTTTGTTGTTAAAAAATTATAGGCATTTTTAAACATTACTGATTAGAGATATTCATTAGAAATGATTAAATCTAGAAAATAGTCTTGCTTGAATTCACAATCATATGTGTGTTTTAGATGCATTCACAATTGCTGAATAGAGTTAAGGGTTCAGGGTATCCTATCAATTCAACGAGTAAACTTTTAATATAAGGCAATTGGATATTATGTTCAAAGAACGTAGCACAGCCAGTGGTAGCGCGATGACGGTTACAGAAAAGCCTAAATTTTATGAAAATCACAATTAGTTCATGTATACACAATGGACTGTTTCAGATCAGAAACAATTGGTTTGCCCATTAAGAATATTGGCTTTAGTGTTAGCGGATAGTATCGTCCATGTTTACACAATAAACTGATTTTAAATTTCCATGTAATTGTATTTAAAGTCGCGTGAGGTCGATACAACATCAACAACAACAACAACATCTCTGAATGGCGCCGTTGATAATCCTATCCTGAACAATGTCGCCCTGGGTACAACAACAGTCACAGACAATTCCATGCTTGTTGAGTCGAGCAGATCAGAGACCGATACAATATCCACCATAGTCACTGGAACACCGGGACCGCCGACCAAGGCAACAATCTCCTCATTTGAAGGAACATCCGAACCAACCAGCGAAACAACAGCTGTTGCAACATCCGAACCAACCAGCGAAACAACAGCTGCGATACGTGTTGCAACATCCGAACCAACCACTGCAAAAACATCTGCAAAATTTGAAGGATCAACCGAAACAGAATTTGAAACAATCGGCATTGCTGTCGGAACACCCGAAACGACAACCGTCAATGTTGATACAACAACTGTTGCTGTCGTAGATGGAACCCTGATCGTCCTTAGTAGTGATCCTACAACTGATCCTACACTGATGCCACAGGATGGAACAACAACATCATCCGCGGCTGAGGTAACAACCATCACCGGATATGGGTCACAAGGTAAATTAAGATATAGGTGGGAAACTATACTTCGCTAATACGGACACGAACTTATAAAATGTTCTGATATAAACTGATAAGGATGCAGAATGTTCGTGCTGGGGGTATATATCATTTGTCAAATGGATAGGACTTTCTGGTGTTTTTAAATCAGACACAATGAAATGAAGACACCATTGTGTATATTTTTTGTAAAAGAGGCAAACACTACACCATCAATAAAGATTTTCATGTTTTATATGAACATTTAAGTTTGCGAATCGTAAAGTCATGGGATTTGTTTTACAAGGTTTTTTTCTTTCATTCTTACTCCTTAAATCGATATCATAATTTTATATAAGTTATTTTCTTGATAACGATGCATGAAAGATTACAACATTCTTTGTAGCGCCTACGAGATCATCCATCAGACCAGTCCTTTGTGGAACCTACCCTCGGGAAAACAAGACATGCTATACGTACTGCGCTAACCGCACGAGGGAAATAAACGTCCGCATTGTGGATATGCGCGCCAACCTCATAGACCGGAAGTCAACTAGTCGATACCTGCGCAGTCTTTCTTCTGCACTAGATGACCGAACATCCGCCCAGACTATCGGGTATACGGGTGTGATTGTCCTGGTGTCATTTTTTCTGTTCATAATTATTTTAGATGTGAAGGCAGGTGGTAAGTCTAAGAAAAAGAATTTAAGAAACCCGGTATAACACTGAATAATATATATCAGTCTGTAGAGAATTCGGTCAGATGACTCAAGGAAGAAATATATCTCTTATGATTGATTTCCGTATAACTTAACTAAGGTAGAGAATCCCAACACTTTGTACTGCCTTAAAAAGTTATTTTACCTATACATTTAAATTTCTTTACCTTAAATTCTTACAAAGACAATTATAGTGAATTACAATTTTAGGGAGTGACAACATTTTGATTTTTTTCTCAAAAAATTAAAAAAGATCCTTTCCATCTTCTTAACGACCTATTTTTCAATGAGCGATATCGCTCTGAAGCTCTCTCCGTTTTTATCGAATGGAACGGAGATCGAATGACCACGTCGGAGCTTCTTTTTGTGAAAAGACATTGTAAGAAATATGTTTTGCCTTCTATAACTTTTTTCTATTGCAAGCAACTCAAAGTCTAACAAATTGAAACCGCAAAATATATATATTTCTTCCTTCAATAATTCTTTGCTATAATGTCTGGGAAAGCAACTCCTTGCCGAACGAATTGGAACTCTTCTTCGTTGGAGATATAACAGAGCGCTGGGACTATCTACCTTAACTGCAATGTTTTGTATCTGTAAAAGGCATTTACACTAGCTGTTAAGCCAATAGGTATCTTGTTGTGGTAAATGGCTTGTAGGTGTATCGACAATATACTGGCGTTGGCAAACACTTTTTGTCTATTATTATCTCCCTTTGATTTGACGTCCTGGCGACAGCTAGAGTCCTAATAGAAAGATGGTTGCCTAGGGCGACAACAGCGAATTCTGGACTTATTATTTTGAGAACTCGAAAATTTGCACATTTCAAAACACGGTTTTCGTTTTCTAGACCTCTAGCAGTATATGCCTCCGTTTTCTGTGATAGAACTTGAAAATGTTAAATTTGAAAACCGAAAGGTTTAATTATCTCAGGTGCTCACAAGAATTATATACAAGCTTAGATAGATTATATACAGGAGTCGGATGAAACAAATTAATGGTCACATTTGTTTTTTACGAACTGTGATCAAAAAACCATTTTACCTCGATCGTCTAGTGATGTTTATAGTTACAATACCATATTTTCGGATCCATTATGTCCCAACCTATTCGTTTTACAACAGATAAATACCTCATTGCAATATTTTTTTCTGTCTGCGGTAAACAGTGGCAATATCTTTCATTAGATACTAGTTTAAACAAACATGTATTTTATTGTACAAATATACAAATATTTCTTTGATGTACGTAGGTACGGAATCTGCCGAAATGTGACGAGTGCGGTCAAAATGTTCACTTTGTTTACCGTTCTGCATCCAGTTACTTAACTTTAAATATTTCATTTCATAATTATTTTATTGTTTCAATTAACAATAGGATTGGGCTTTCAGTAAATATGTCGACTCTTACTTTGTATTGCGTATTATTTAATAACGTCACAGTGTTGTTTATTAAGAATATAAAATTGTAACACTATAAATGGTTTTAAGTTCGTATCTGTTTTGATGTATTACTACATTTCGGAGCAATTTTGACATGCATTTCACCTTTGACCTTTGACATGCATTTCATCTTTAGTACCATTGTTAAGCTGCAGTCAAAGTGTTCGGGGTTTTTCTGCTTCCACTTACAATATTTTTTAGATAAGCGCTTCCTTACTTTGTTATTATTTAATGACACAAGGTGATGGATACTGCTTGTGGGCTACAGTTCCAGGGGTTGCTAGCACTTATTCTTTAAGATAATATTTGTAACATTATANTATATATGTATGTACCCTAGGCTATCAGACAACTGTAGGTTGATAATCGGTCTTTGAATCAATTGGTCTCAAGTTTGAATCAACGGTCAATTCAATTGTTCGGAAGAGGGTTGACGAAATTTATTCGTCTTGGATGACACCAAGCATAGTCATCAATGATGGATTCGTAGTTTAATGGTATGTCCTTGTGTACAAAGAGCAACAAGAGAGCATTAAGTCGCTCCTCACCCATGGTGCTGCGGTAAGTATTCTTAACGAAGCGTAATGCCGAATTGCTACGCTCGACACTAGCACTTGTGACAGGAGTGATTAGCAGCAGTTGCAGGATTGTTGCAATGTTGGGGTACAGATTTGAATTTGTTGACGTAAGTGAGTCTTGGAGTGTTGCCGGCTTGGCATCACAGTCTGACCAACGCCGTTTCCAGAGTTGCAGTTCCTGTGGAGCGCTGCTTTTGCTTGGGAGGTCTGGTGAAAAGAACCCTAGTACCTTGTCCTGGGCATCCTCGTCCAGTCGTTCAATGTTGGTAGGTAGTAACACCTGTGCTGACATACCTGTGAATCTGTCATTAAGTTGTTGGTGTAGACTGTCGACGAATGGAATGAATATAGCACGCCGATAATATGTAATAGGCGACTTTGCCTTGACATTGCTCCTCATGGTCTGTCTGCCACATGTACGTGGAACGGTGATGGTTTCGCGACATTGATATCATCTTCAGGAAAACTCTCCCAAACTCTTTCCTCGACGCTGTCCTCATTTTAAGGAACTGCTCCTTGATCACCACCACTTCATTGTATGCGTTAACCACATCAAGGTCATCATAAGTATAGCATATCATCTGGTACGTACAACTTATTACTACGTACACAATAGTATGCTGTGTGAAGATACTTTCTTGTACGTACACGATGGTAAGCTATAAGTACCACAATGATATATTATGCTGTACATACAAGATAGTTAAACAGTTCCAACAATATATATGTATGTACCCTAGGCTATCAGACAACTGTAGGTTGATAATCGGTCTTTGAATCAATTGGTCTCAAGTTTGAATCAACGGTCAATTCAATTGTTCGGAAGAGGGTTGACGAAATTTATTCGTCTTGGATGACACCAAGCATAGTCATCAATGATGGATTCGTAGTTTAATGGTATGTCCTTGTGTACAAAGAGCAACAAGAGAGCATTAAGTCGCTCCTCACCCATGGTGCTGCGGTAAGTATTCTTAACGAAGCGTAATGCCGAATTGCTACGCTCGACACTAGCACTTGTGACAGGAGTGATTAGCAGCAGTTGCAGGATTGTTGCAATGTTGGGGTACAGATTTGAATTTGTTGACGTAAGTGAGTCTTGGAGTGTTGCCGGCTTGGCATCACAGTCTGACCAACGCCGTTTCCAGAGTTGCAGTTCCTGTGGAGCGCTGCTTTTGCTTGGGAGGTCTGGTGAAAAGAACCCTAGTACCTTGTCCTGGGCATCCTCGTCCAGTCGTTCAATGTTGGTAGGTAGTAACACCTGTGCTGACATACCTGTGAATCTGTCATTAAGTTGTTGGTGTAGACTGTCGACGAATGGAATGAATATAGCACGCCGATAATATGTAATAGGCGACTTTGCCTTGACATTGCTCCTCATGGTCTGTCTGCCACATGTACGTGGAACGGTGATGGTTTCGCGACATTGATATCATCTTCAGGAAAACTCTCCCAAACTCTTTCCTCGACGCTGTCCTCATTTTAAGGAACTGCTCCTTGATCACCACCACTTCATTGTATGCGTTAACCACATCAAGGTCATCATAAGTATAGCATATCATCTGGTACGTACAACTTATTACTACGTACACAATAGTATGCTGTGTGAAGATACTTTCTTGTACGTACACGATGGTAAGCTATAAGTACCACAATGATATATTATGCTGTACATACAAGATAGTTAAACAGTTCCAACAATATATATGTATGTACCCTAGGCTATCAGACAACTGTAGGTTGATAATCGGTCTTTGAATCAATTGGTCTCAAGTTTGAATCAACGGTCAATTCAATTGTTCGGAAGAGGGTTGACGAAATTTATTCGTCTTGGATGACACCAAGCATAGTCATCAATGATGGATTCGTAGTTTAATGGTATGTCCTTGTGTACAAAGAGCAACAAGAGAGCATTAAGTCGCTCCTCACCCATGGTGCTGCGGTAAGTATTCTTAACGAAGCGTAATGCCGAATTGCTACGCTCGACACTAGCACTTGTGACAGGAGTGATTAGCAGCAGTTGCAGGATTGTTGCAATGTTGGGGTACAGATTTGAATTTGTTGACGTAAGTGAGTCTTGGAGTGTTGCCGGCTTGGCATCACAGTCTGACCAACGCCGTTTCCAGAGTTGCAGTTCCTGTGGAGCGCTGCTTTTGCTTGGGAGGTCTGGTGAAAAGAACCCTAGTACCTTGTCCTGGGCATCCTCGTCCAGTCGTTCAATGTTGGTAGGTAGTAACACCTGTGCTGACATACCTGTGAATCTGTCATTAAGTTGTTGGTGTAGACTGTCGACGAATGGAATGAATATAGCACGCCGATAATATGTAATAGGCGACTTTGCCTTGACATTGCTCCTCATGGTCTGTCTGCCACATGTACGTGGAACGGTGATGGTTTCGCGACATTGATATCATCTTCAGGAAAACTCTCCCAAACTCTTTCCTCGACGCTGTCCTCATTTTAAGGAACTGCTCCTTGATCACCACCACTTCATTGTATGCGTTAACCACATCAAGGTCATCATAAGTATAGCATATCATCTGGTACGTACAACTTATTACTACGTACACAATAGTATGCTGTGTGAAGATACTTTCTTGTACGTACACGATGGTAAGCTATAAGTACCACAATGATATATTATGCTGTACATACAAGATAGTTAAACAGTTCCAACAATATATATGTATGTACCCTAGGCTATCAGACAACTGTAGGTTGATAATCGGTCTTTGAATCAATTGGTCTCAAGTTTGAATCAACGGTCAATTCAATTGTTCGGAAGAGGGTTGACGAAATTTATTCGTCTTGGATGACACCAAGCATAGTCATCAATGATGGATTCGTAGTTTAATGGTATGTCCTTGTGTACAAAGAGCAACAAGAGAGCATTAAGTCGCTCCTCACCCATGGTGCTGCGGTAAGTATTCTTAACGAAGCGTAATGCCGAATTGCTACGCTCGACACTAGCACTTGTGACAGGAGTG